TTGCGCCAGTTGTTGTCAGAGCTGCACCGTCCTATTGAGCAAGCTACCATTGTTTACTGTGATAATATTTCAGCTATCTACATGTCAGGGAATTCGGTTCAACACCGTGCACCAAGCATATTGAGATCGACATTCATTTTGTTTGAGAGAAGGTGGCTCTCGGTCAAGTTCGCGTTCTCCACGCGCCTACTTCTGCTCAGTTTGCTGATATCTTTACTAAAGGCCCGGCGACTACTCCGTTTCGAGACATTCGTTTCAGTCTCAACGTCGTCGAGCCTACCGTTGACAATGCGGGGGATGTTAGAATACAACTTGTATTAGGAGTATGACTCCTACTCGGTTTGAAATAAGGCTAGGTCACGTGCGGCTTAGCTCTTATATATACTTCTTGTACTAGCACAATATTGTATCAATTATTATTCAATACAATTCTACATTTTGGACGAGTCTGCCCTTGTGCATGCACGAAGAAAGCACAATTTGTTTAATCGTTGCATGCAACAGATTGGGTGGCCGCTTCAGTCTGCTTCTTTCTCCTGCACGCATGCTCCTTGGACCCGTTTGCATGTCGCTCTGATTGGTTGGAGCGCCCGTGCTGCTGCAAGAGTAATGAATGCGTACACGGTAGGTGCCGGGTATAGATGAAAATAGTGACCAGCAAAAGGTAGTACGCAGACTAATTAGGAAAAAACGGCAAAAGTTATACGCAGAGAAAAAAGAATCGAAGGGAGTATATGTATGCCTGACGATCCTTCCTGACGGGTGGATGGCAGGAATATGTATTTTCCACTAAGCTCAAATCTGACGGAACATTTCCTTCCTGTCGAGAAAGATCTGGAGGTGCCATCCTGAGTTGAATGAACCTTGGGCAGCACAGCACGTACGTACTGCTCGTGAGAGATTATTCCAGCTCGAACTGAATTCCAAAGTCTCTTGGCAGCGATGTGAAAGAAAATAGTCACTGCGCGTCAATCAGTTTCGATGGAGGTTCCATATTTCGTGTGATGTCTTAGCAGCGAAGGAAAGAATTAAAGGATGAGCAAAGTTACAAAAAAAAAACGTACAAAAACAGTAAAAAGACGATGTGGCCACTGTTTCAAAAAATGTTCGTGTTTTCCACTTTTTTTTGTGAATTTAAAAATATGTTCGCGTCTTCAAATTTTGTTTTCTGTTTCTTTTTTGGTTTTTCTGTTTCTGATTCTTTTTCTTTTCGTTTTTTATGTTTCTGATTCTTTTCTATTTTTCTTTTTAATTTTATATTGTTTTCGGAAAAGAGTTTGGAATTTATTTAAAATATCCATGCGTTTATAAACATATCAGAATTCAAAATTTTAGTGTTTTCAAATTATGTTCATAAATTCAAAAATTGTTCGTATTTCACAAAATTTGTTCATGTATTAAAAAAATCGTTTTTAAAAAGTTATTTTTATTTTCTGAAAACTGTTGACAAACTTTAAAAAATATTCTAGCTTATTAAAGATGATAAAATTGAATGTAGTTTTTTTAGAAATTTTTTCATAATTTCAAAAAATGTTCGCGTTTAAAAAAATGTTTGTTGTTTTTTCAAAAAAAATCTGAATGTTTGTGCTCAAAAAATTCACAACTTCTTAAAACTTGTACGGTATTTCAAAAAATGTTCCTGTTTAAAACAATTGTTCATGCTTTCATTTCTTGGAGTTTCCAAAAATGTTCCCGTTTAAAAATGTTCACCAATTTCAAATAAATGTTCGTGTTTTCAAATTTTTGTCGGGAGTTTAAAGAATTTTTGCGTTTGCCCAATTTTCTTTTGGAATTTCAAAAGATGTTCCTGTTTTGGAAAAAAATGTTTGTGATTTCGAAAAATGTTCCTGCTTTTCTAAAAGAAATTTCCCAATTTGGAAAGTGTTTGCATTCAGAAAACACTCAGTTTTTAAAAAATCATTCAAAATGCTGAAAATAATTCGGTATCTGCTCTGTAGGTTTGATTCTTTAAAACGGACGCTGCAAACTTGTCAGAAGCGTGGGCTTGGTGTGTCGGTGGCCGCGCCTGATTTGTACCATGAGGAACGAGTTTCGATTCCCAGCCCAGTCGGAGATCGCCTTGCAGTGCGCTACTGGGCCAGCAATTAATATTGCAGTGGTGCAAGTTGTTTGTCTGTGTAGGTTTTTATAGGTTTTTCACTGTCGATAGTGTTATTTTTTGGGCTTTTTAGTTTTTTCGATTTTGTATGTTTCCTTCTCGGTTTCCACAGGTTTTATTTAGATTTTTTTCCCAAGAAATGTCTACCTTTGTCATATGATTGTACATTTTTTATATACATCAAGAACATTTAAAAACACTTTTACCATTTTTAAATATAGGATTAGCATTTTTCAAATATATGATTCACATTTATGAGATATAAATTGTTATGTCTATTTTTTAATAAACATTTTTAATACTTTATCATTCGTAAAGATATGATTAATTGTCTAATACAACAAGTTTTGCCTGGCTCCGGCCAGGCAGGGGCAATGTCTATTTTTTAATAAACATTTTTAATACTTTATCATTCGTAAAGATATGATTAATTGTCTAATACAACAAGTTTTGCCTGGCTCCGGCCAGGCAGGGGCAATGACTGTGGCACGCGCTCGGCTCGATTCAGTTTTTCTAGTCATCGCTAGGTGGTGCAGATTTGGATGCAATTTTTATTATTTCTGATGTTGGTTGTATTGACATGATTGAAGATGAATAGATCGAAAGATTTTTCGCAAAAAAAAACATGTAGAATAAATACGAGAGAAACCACTTTTTTCTTACTCTCACTAAACTCCACCCGGAGAGCCAGTTGCAAACTCGCAATCACAAACAAGCTCATGGACACTTGGCAATTACATCCCCGGCGGCGCCGGCAGCGACGCTGCCACTGGACAGCCGCGTGGCCATCGTCACCGGCACGTCGCCCGACATCGGGCGTGGCATCGCAACCCACCTATCCTCCCTCGGCACAAGCCTGGTCCTCGGGTACGCCTCGAGCTCTCTGTAGGCGGACGCGGTCAAGGCCGACATCTCCGACGAGGCGAGCGTCCTTCGGCGGCCCGGCACACATCCTGGTGATCTGAATAAAATTATTAAACTTTATTGCTTTGGCGCGGCTCAATCTCATCTCAATCAAAGGCTCAAGATGAAAACAGCTGAGCCAATGATGAGATGTATCAGGTATGTGCGTCCGTAAGGTTTTTGCTTATAAACCAACTAATCTTCTTGATGGAGATATTTACTTGCCCCTAGAGTCTAAGGTAAAGATCCCTAGAGTTGTGGTTTTGAGTTGCAACAAGCCCAAAATTTGTGTCTTGATACAATTTACTATTCTAGAAAATTCTCGTTAGATAAAGATATTCTGTGCGTACGTGATATTTTATTTAGCATAATATCTGTGATGACAGTAACCATATAGGATATGTACATGTGAGAAACCATTTTCTTAGTACGGAATAGTAATTTTCCACACATGCATTAAAGGTGATGTCAACCTGCTAGAGTTGGTCAACAGCATGGATGAGAGCATGGAAAGGAAGCGGACAAGCAGACAAGCTGCGTCCCGCGTGTCCATGGTGAAAGGGTATTCAAGATAGATAATCCACACCCTGCGTCACTCATGACAAAATGCTCTCCGGTAGCAAAACCATATTTATATAAACTCAACCAAGGCAGCCAGTCGCAAACTCGCAATCACAAACAAAGCTCATGGACACCTCGGCGATCACATCCCCACTGGCGCCGGCAGCAACGCTCCCCTTGGCCGGCCGCGTGGCCATCGTCACCGGCGCGTCGCAAGACTCTAGCGCAGCCACCTAGTTCATATAATAGTTGTGATGACTATAGATATGTGTAAATTACTACTAACATGTAAAATAAATATGCTTGGGAACAAGACTCTAACGCAGACACCTGCCCATGCTGAAAGGGTAATCAAGATAGATAATCTGCACCCTGCGTCACTCATGAAGAAATGCTCTCCCGTAGCAAAACCATATTTATATGAACTCAACCCAGACAGGCAGTCGCAAACTCGCATGTCTAGGACTCCTCCGCCTTCCGCCGGCGCCATTCCGCGCTCATCTCCGGTGGCCTTAGGGTTTGTCGGCGGGAGAGCTCTGTTTTTAGATGTTCCAACGAGTATTGTTAGGGTTTGTGTCCTACTCAGAAAGACGAGACAACGGCGGCTCCCTGAAGATGGAATAAAGTTTTCCCCGCCTAGCCCCCGTTTCAGTGGTGTGTCTAGCATCGTCGGTGAGCGTGTGGAGATGTGTCTTCGGCGAATCTGTTCTTAGTGGATTTGCTCGAATCTGTCCTTGGTGAATTTGCTTGGATCTGGTCGTAGTTCGTCGACGTTCGCGTGTTTTCAGGTTGGATCCTTCCGATATACACCACTCTTCATCCGTGGCGGTTGCTGTTCTATTGCGCTAGTCTTATGATGCCTTCGCACGACGACTTTCCGGCTATCTACTACAACAAGTTTTGCTTGATTCCGGCGAGGGAAGCGACAATGATGGCGATGCTTCGGTGTTTGTGGTCGTCATTAGGTGGCCTGCGAATCTGGATATATTTTTTATTATTTATGGCGTTTGTTGTACTGACATAATTGAAGATGAATAGATAAAAAAATTCACAGGAGAAAATGTAGAAGAGGAACCATTTTTTCCTTAGTAATTTTCCACACAGTAAACAAACGACCGTGACTCGCAAAAAAGAAAAATTCCACACATGCATTAAAGACGATGCCGCCATGATAGTTACTACATGAAGTTGGCCGACATCATGGATGGATGAGAGCATGGAGAGGTAGTATCTCTTGGGGCGTGCCCATGGTCAAAGCCTCAAAGGGGAAGATTGATAATCCACGCTCTGCGTCACCGATGACGAGTGTGCTCTCCGCTAGCAAAACCATATTTATAAGAACTCAACCTCGGCGATCACAAACTCGCAAAGTCAGTCGCAAAGCCCGTTGCAAACTCGCAATCTCGCAAACAAGCTCATGGCCACCTCGGCGATCACATCCCCTCCGGCTCCGGCAGCAACGCTGCCCCTGGCGGGCCGCGTGGCCATCGTCACCGGCGCGTCGGGCGGCATCGGGCGCGGCATCGCGACCCACCTGTCGTCCCTCGGCGCCAGCCTGGTCCTCGGGTACGCCTCCAGCTCTCAGCAGGCCGACGCGCTGGCCGCTGAGCTCCCGCGCGCCGTGGCGATCAAGGCCGACGTCTCCGACGAGGCGGGCGTCCGGTCCCTCTTTGACGCCGCAGAGACCGCCTTCGGCGGCCCGGCGCACATCATGGTGGCCTGCGCGGGCCTGGGCATCGGGACCTACCCGTCGCTCGCCAACACCGCCACGGCGGACTTCGACAACGTGTTCGCGGTGAACACCCGGGGCGCGTTTCTGTGCCTCCGCGAGGCGGCGAACCGGCTGCGGCGCGGGGGCGGGGGCCGGATCGTGGCTGTGTCCTCGACGCTGGCGGCGACGCTGCTCCCTGGCTACGGGGCGTACACAGCGTCCAAGGCGGCCGTGGAGGCGATGGTGCGGGTGGCCGCGAAGGAGCTCGGGTCGGCGCGGGTGACGGTGAACTGCGTGGCGCCGGGGCCCGTGGCGACGGAGCTCTTCTTCGACGGGAAGAGCGAGGAGGCGGTGGAGAGGTTCAGGGCTGGGCACCCGATGGGGCGGCTTGGGGAGGTGGGCGACATCGCGCCGGCGGTCGGGTTCCTCTGCACTGACGCGGCCGAGTGGGTGAACGGCCAGGTCATTCGGGTCAACGGCGGCATTGCTTAATTACCGTGGCTGTTCGCCGCTGTCTCTCTGTTTCTCCTGTGTCGAACGGATGCCTCCGTTTTCTTAAACTAGATGATACTCCGCGCATTGCTGCAAAAATTTGTATGTGGATTTTCAACGTAACATCGACATCTTAAAGAAGAACACAATTTCAATCCATAAAATGGTAGATTATTTATATAGGAAATGATTGAAATTTCTTGTTGGTACAAATATGTAACATATGATAAAGTCGTAGCAGTTTGTAGCATGAACCATATAGCGTTTGATAAAACTATAGCAACTTGTAGCATGTACTATGTTCTTACTCGATATATATGTTGTTGTCTGTAGGTGTGTGTTCTTCAATTACTATGACCTGGATATATGGTATCCCATTCTTTTCATACTCGACAATGTATCCCATGAAAGATAATGATGGTTATCACACGGTTGGTTAGCGATGTGTTGAGGCTTGGACTCCAGTTTGAAAGTTATAAACGCCGGGTCTTTTGTGCCCTTCATCTTTGCAATTGCGCCTGTGTATTTCTTCTGAGCTTCTCTTATTGAAATGGCGGTAGAACTTGGCAAATTACTTTTTGCAGAATGAGGTGGCGTCCTTGAGAAGATAGGAGTATGTTGTCAATCAGGGTAATAAGTGGAATGAAAATATATAGCAAACTAATTTCAATAGGAGTACTAGTGGCTTTGGTTGTCCATTTGTACTGCCTGCCACCCCGTGGTTGAAAAGATAAGTGGTAAGCTGAAAATGCAACGGGATGATGTTAATATAGATGTGTGTGTTATAATAGTAGGAAGTACTAATATTGAGAGATGACAACATAAGATTCGACATTTGAGACAGTTCTTGAGAGGTTGGGTCAGAAATGAGAGTGGTATTTACAAACAAGAAAAAGAACAACTGACTCAATTAATTGAAGCGCTTGATTTAAAAGCTGAAAGTAACCTCCTTACGGTTCATGAGCAAAGCTCCATGTCCGAAGCTGAGCAAGGCTTACGGGCTCTTCTAAGGGAAGAGGAGCTCAAATGGGCACTGTGTGCTAAAGTGCTTAAGGTTGTCCAAGGGGATGACAATACACAATTCTTCCATATGATTGCAAATGGTAAACATAGGAAGAAGAAAATCATACAGCTAGAACAGGACGAGGGGACAATAGTAGGACATGAGAATCTGAAAGCATATATATCTAACTACTATAAACAACTCTTTGGACATCCGGAAGCAAGTACGGTGACCCTAGATGAATCTGTCTGTGGAGATATTCCTCAGCTCCAGGTAGAGGAGAATGATATTCTCTCTGCTCCATTTACCGAGAAGGAGGTTTTCGATGCTATTTACCAAATGAAACCAAATAAAGCACCAGGGCCAGATGGGTTTCCTGCTGAATTCTATAAGAAATGTTAGCATATTATTAAGGATGATCTTATGCCTATGTTTCATGATTTCTTTAACGGTCATCTAGAGCTGTTTCATTTGAACTTTGGCATGATTACATTGTTACCAAATAAAGAAGAAGCGGTTCAGATCGAACAATTCAGGCTCATATGTCTTCTTAATGTGAGTTTCAAAATATTCACAAAGGTGGGTACCAATAGATTGACACAAATAGCTCATTCTGTGGTACAACCTAGTCAGACAGCGTTCATGCCAGGGCGACACATACTGGAAGGAGTGGTCGTATTGCATGAAACGCTTCACGAAATCCATTCGAAGAAGCTAGATGGGGCTATCTTCAAAGTGGATTTTGAGAAGGCATATGACAAAGTTAAATGGCCCCTCTTTTTCTTCTTCTTCTTCTTCTTCTTCTTCCTCTTCCTCTTCCTCTTCCTCTTCTTCTTCTTCTTCCTCTTCCTCTTCCTCTTCTTCCTCTTCCTCTTCCTCTTCTTCCTCTTCTTCTTCTTCTTCTTCTTCTTCTTCTTCTTCTTCTTCTTCTTCTTCAGAACAGCTCCGCCGGAGCCCTAGAACTATTCCGCCAAGGTTCCGCATCGTGGCGGCGGAGTTTCGTCCCGTGAGCTAGCTTATGATTTTTTTTCTCGACAAAAGACCTCGTATAGCCAAAGATGGGCATCAGAGGGCTGCCAGGGGGCCCACGAGGCAGGGGGCGCTCCCAGGGGGTAGGGCGCATCCCCTACCCTCGTGGACGATGGTTGGCCCCCCTCTGGTACTTCTTTCGCCCAATATTTTTTATATATTCTAAAACATGCTCCCGTGAAGTTTCAGGACTTTTGGAGTTGTGCAAATTAGGTCTCTAATATTTGCTCCACTTCCAGCCCAGAATTCCAGCTATCGACATTCCCCCTCTTTATGTAAACCTTGTAAAATAAGAGAGAATAGGCATAAATATTGTGACATAATGTGTAATAATAGCCAATAATGCAATAAATATCGATATAAGAGCATGATGCAAAATGGACGTATTAACTCCCCCAAGGTTAGACCTCGCTTGTCCTCAAGCGAAATCCGAAATCGAAAAATATGTCCACATGATTAGAGAGAGGTGTCGATAAAAATAAAATACGGACATGAGGGCATCATGATCATTTTTAGAATAGCAACACACACACACACACACACACACACACACACACACACACACACACACACATATATATATATATATATATTGTCAGAAACTTCATATGATCTTTTATGCTAAAGTAACAATCCAATCACAATTTCAAGTATGAATCAGAAACTTCATTGGGAACTAATAAACTATAATCTCAGTCATTGAAGCAATTGCAATTTATCATAACATAGGAAAGAGTCAATAAGAGCTTTTCAGTAAGTCCACATACTCAACCATCATTTAGTCTTTCACAATTGCTAACACTCACGCAATATTTATGGTTATGAAGTTTTAGTCCGACACAGAGAAAGATAAGGGCTTATAGTTTTGTCTCCCAACCTTTTACCTCAAGGATAATGTCAACAATAATAGTTCATGAAAACTCACATCCAATTAGCTATATATATATCTGAATCTTTCCAACACATTGTGCTTTGCAAATGATAAAATGTAAAAAGGAAAGGTGAAGATCACCATGACTCTTGCATGAAGTATAAGGCAAGAATAAAAGATAGGCCCTTCGCAGAGGGAAGCAGAGGTTGTCATGTGCTTTTATGGTTGGATGCACAAAATTTTAATGCGAAAAAACGTCACTTTATATTTCCACTTGTGATATGGACCTTTATTGTGCAGTCCGCCGCTTTTATTTCTTCCACATCACAAGATCATATAAAGATTATTTTCTCCGCACTAATAAATCATACATATTTAGAGAGCAATTTTTATTGTTTGCAACGATGACAACTTACTTGAAGGATCTTACTCAATCCATAGGTAGATATGGTGGACTCTCATGGAAAAACTAGGTTTAAGGATATTTGGAAGCACAAGTAGTATCTCTACTTGGTGCATAGAATTTGGCTAGCATGAGAGGGAAAGACAAGCTCAACATGTTGGATGATCCATGACAATATAATTTATTTCAGATGTAAGAAAACATAACCTATACGTTGTCTTCCTTGTCCAAACTAAACTCTTTATCATATCATATTTTAATGAGTGCTCACAATCATAAAAGATGTCCAAGATAGTATATTTATATGTGAAAATCTCTCTTTCTTTATTACTTTCTATTAATTGCAACGATGACCAAAACTATGTTTGTCAACTCTCAACAACTTTTATTCATCATACTCTTTATATGTGAAGTCATTACTCTCCATAAGATCCATATGATCTCTTTATTTCTTTTTATTCTTTCTCTTTTATTTTTATTCCCTCAAGATCAGAGCAAAATCATCAAGCCCTTGACTCAACACTAATCTTTATTATATATGGCTCACGGACTCGATTACATAGAAGGATCATAAAGCAAAACTAAAGAACTAGATCATACTAAAATTTTATTCTACTAGATCAAGATATTACCCAAAAGGATCAAACTAAGAAAAAAGGTAAAGATAAAAGTGTGATGGTGATACGATACCGGGGCACTCCCCCAAGCTTGGCAGTTGCCAAGGGGTGTGCCCATACCCATGTGTTTATGTCTCCTTCCTCGGAGGTGGCGATGATGGAGTTGTTGATGATGTGGGCTTGTCGTCCATCTTCCAAGGCATAGGCTCACCATCATAGAAGGATGATCGAGTCTCCGGGATCCTCAAATCTGCAGTCAAACTCATCCTTTTGAATCTATATTCTTACTCACAGTTTTGGTTTTGCGGGTCATAGATCTGGGCTTGGAGGCGCTCGATTTTCTCGTGAAGCTTGAAGATGGCCTCCCCAATGTTCTTGTCATCCAGCTTGTGGTTGTTGGTGAACTCCATGATCATTATATGATTGGAGTCGAGTCCACGTTCCACCATCTTCTGGCACTTGAAAACTTGTTGCTCCATTGTCTCAAGCCTTGTCTCCACGCTTCCGGTCCTCCTTGGTCCCTCAACATCACGGATGTGCAGCAACCCCTCACGCATCTCAATGGTTTGAGGGTGTTGCAGCACCTCCGCGAGGTAAGGGTTGATGACCTTCTCGAAGAACTTGTCCTTGGGGGCACTTGAAGACGCCATGGAAATCTAGATCTGTCAGAAAAACAGCTCGAAACAAAGACAGAATATATTTGTGTGGTACGGTGGTCAAAACCTTCAGGAGATTATATAATGATTTTTTACCGACCAAAAGAAGTATCGTGCAAGAAAACGGAGTCCGGAGGGCACACGAGGTGCCCACGAGGCAGGGGGCGCGCCCAGGGGTGTAGGGCGCCCCCTCCACCCTCATGGAAGCCTCGTGTACTTTCCGGATTGCTTCTTATTTTCCTATTTTTTTAAATATTCCAAAACGGAGAAAAATTGCCATTAGAACTGTTTTAGAGTCGGTTTACTTACCGTACCACGTACCTATTCCTTTTTGGAGTCTGAAACGTTCTGGAAAGTGTCCCTTATGTATTCCTCTAGGGTTACGGTTTCAATAACATTAGTTTCAACATTTATAGGATTA